TTACCGCGGGAGACAATAGTGGAAAAACACTACTACGAATAAATTCAATTCTTCCCAAATAATTTGGCTTATGTAATATTTGTTTAAGAGTATCGTATGTTTCCACGGGAAAAACTGGTACTGGCAGAGCATTAAAGAACATTTTAAGAAGAACTGCTGCCACATGAACACCATAATCTTTTAAATTTACAGGATTTCCTATTTTAATTGAGAATCATTGAAATCAATATTAAAAAATATATTGATTAAATTAGGATATTCACGATAAATTTAAGTGTTACAAACCTCGATCATAGGCTTCCTTTGCTTGCCGTAATAATACGGAACTAGGTGATCTACGAAACACACCTTCAGTTTCCATCCCTAATTCAATTCACAATTAATGATAAATTAAGATTTAAAGTTAGAATTGCTATCAAATAGAAAGATTTATACCTTCGGATCTTATATACGCGACACAATCTTTAACAACTCTTGGCAATCCATTTTCTCCTTCAGTACCCATGAGTTTTTCAATAGGGACCCCAAACATCAAATGACCATCATCATCATAATTGTATAAATTGGGTAACGTAATCTTATCTTCGAATTTTAAATTGTATCTAATGCAATAAATGTAAATCATTAATTAAATCTAAAATATTGTGAAATGATTAGAATTAACGTGATATCATACTCGTAAACAGCAGGGGGTATGTCAATCTGCGTAATAGGAACATATTTAGCTAGTTCGGACAATGTAAGAACGTATTTAACTTTTTTTGCAAATTTTGGACTAGACAATTTAATATAAATGTTTAGTTATTATATTATCTCGGAAATTACCAAGAACCGAACGACAACTTAATCTTTTTTTTTAATATTAAAAATACCTTATCACAACATTCATAAAATCAAGATATAAACGAGCCCAAGTAGATGGTTGGATTATATATAAAGATTTTAAATTTTTCTTATATCTTTAAAGAAAAATTAACTTGTTAGTAATATTTTGTAATCTTTTAGAAATTTTAATTCAAGAAAATCATATTCACTTTCTACTCAGGCTTTTATATGCTCGAAATATCCAGGTCCAACCAGGATTATATTTGGCACCTCCTGCGAAGAGTACAACAGTATAATCACTTTCAACAAAAATATCTAGTTTCTGTAGTATTCGGCTTAATTTGATAAAAAGTTGACAAATGATGCGTTAATATCAAGAAACAATTGGTATCCAACATATAGGAAACAAGAGTTTTTTGCCCTTACGATAAAATTCTATCATAATTGACTTCTGCAGGATTTGGCAGGTTGCAGGCGCAAATCACCACCATTGGCTTGCTTTCGAAATCTACACCTGTACAAAACGAATATCAAATCCCGTAGTACAAAATATCAAAAAGAATGGAACCAAAAAAATCTTTTGTCAAGTCTATTGAACATTATTTACCTGCTTGATAAATAACCTTAGAGTATACATATTCTGCCAGGGCCTCCTCATCGGCGGAAG